TGGGGGGGGGGGGGGGGGGGGGGGGGAGAGAAGAGAGTGAGGTGCGAGACAAAAGGAACATTAATAATATCTATAAAATAATGATATTAATAACAATAATATAATAATAATGAAAATAACAACAACAACAACAACAACAATAACAATAATAGTGAGCATTTGTATGGCGTAATTTCCTGCTTAACAGCAAGCTCCATGCGCTTTATACAGTGCAAGCTGCCTTTGTTATAGGCGCTTAAACAGTAACAAACAGTTGAAATTGACCAAGACGGCCATGTCCATCTTTTAGGAGAGAAGTGAATTATTTTCTAAGTCAGAAAGACGTCTTGTGCAGCATCATTGTAACATATAATATTCTTTAAGGGGACGGCACCCCAAAAGATTCGGCTCAAAACCATGGGTTTTAAGTTGTAGGCATTTTTAGCTTCTTCGGCCTTTCTTACATTTTCATCGCATAAGAAACCCATACCGGGCGTGTTTGTCACCACAATTTCCTCATACAGTCGATCTTTTACTTTTCTTTATCACCTTTTTTTCTCGAAACGTGGTTTATCTATGTAAAACAACAAACGGACGCAGTGCAATGAAGCAAATACCAAAGGAAGTCGCTCTATATGATAGTTGAATGGGTGATGAACCTGTATATGATAGTTGAATGGGTGATGAACCTGTATATGATAGTTGAATGGGTGATGAACCTCTATATGATAGTTGAATGGGTGATGAACCTCTATAAGATAGTTGAATGGGTGATGAACCTCTATATGAAAGTTGAATGGGTGATGAACCTCTATATGATAGTTGAATGGGTGATGAACCTCTATATGATAGCTGAATTGTTGATGAACCTCTATAGTTGAATGGTTGATGAACCTCTATATGATAGCTGAATAGTTGATGAAGCTCTATGCATATTTAAAGTGTGTGTCTCGGGCTGCTAAGGTTTCTTTAATATAAAAAAATTCTACCACGACTTCAGTGTTCTAAACTGGTGCGGTGCTTGGTGTTTTTTCACTATTATGTAAGGCAGTGTCAAAATAATGAAAGTGAAGCAGGTTTGTGAATTTTTATCGAATTTTTGTTTTTTGTCTCAACACCTTTCACGACCATTGAAGAACACATTTCTGTGCGGATTTTACTGAACAGTATAAAAGATGTCAATTTTCAGTTTCCACAGGCTCTCAAACTAAGGAAATAAATAAACTTTAGTGGCCATTTTTTCGTTAATTTTACCTCTGAGATCAGGGGACACCTACCCCTTTCAATCAAAAGTATCTCTACTTGTATTCAAGGTAAATGGATTATTTTTTCATCGAAACAAGGCAAACGGCCAGGTTTTAACTACTTTAAGATGATATCAATAACTCACTATGCCCCAAAATTAATGAGTGCCTGATTTCACCACATTGTGACGCATATGAGCCTTCGGTACTGTAAGTGTTAAGACTTACCGTCGACCACCCATTCCATGCGGAAGCCGTGGTAGGCGATAGAAAGGTCGGAGTTGAAGTTGAACCAGAGGGCGTTGCCGGAGGACTGGAAGGGGGCGGGGATGGTGGCGCCGCAGTAGTTGCCCAGCACGGTGGAGGTCGGGGTCGCTCCGTCT